TTATTGTATTTAGTTGTTTGCTGCTTAAAAGCCCACACAGAGATGTGGTCAGAGTGAATTATTTTCAAAGAACAAAGAACCAGGTGTTTTTGAGTGAGGAACATCTGTACGGGGGCTGGCACGATGACATCAAGCTATTCCAGCCTTCCTATTGCTTGGTGTCATTGCATGCTTCATCAGTCTCACTGTTGCAACAGCTGATCAAGATTGATGCCAAAAAAAGTCCATAGATCTTTCTGAAATGTTAAACGTGGGTTTTGTGTGAGTATGTAAAATTCTCTCTTACAAAGGAGCCTATTTGAACTTGTCAACCTCTACGAAAACATAAAAAATAGAACACAGAAAGAAAATTTGATACAGCATATTATTAAAGTATAATGTAGGTATCTCATTTGGTTTAATGTTGATATTCCAGAGTTCCCAGATCTCTAAACAACCTCATGCAGATGATACAAGCATGAACTAATTAACTTGTTATATTTTATGAAGTTATAGTTAATCATCTCGAGTCATGTGCTCTGCATTTGTAAATCAGCAAAAATGCTGGTGGTAATTTCAAATTATAAAAAAAACAGCAAAGACTGATTTTTTGTTGATTTATGTGTTTTGAGAAAGAAATATGAAAAGAAACACCCTACATACAAGTGGCCTCAAGACTTTTGGGCATGAGGTCAACACAAACCAGGCAAGCAACAGCTTCTCTGAGGTTTTTTTCCTTTTTAAAACATAAGAGCATACTTGACAACACAGAGGGTATTGTGCATGATTAGCCTTGAGAAACTGGCTTTATGAAACCAACAGATATCTCTGCTGCAGATGTCTGTCAACAGAATATGATGGATTGAGGTCTCCCTGACTGCAAACACATGTGCAATCAGTCATTATGCATTGATGGTGAATCATTTATAAATCACAGCATGACAGACCCAAAAAGAATTCTGAAACAAACTTGAGCTTTGAGCTGCTACAATTTAGAAACATCCACTCTTATCTATGCAACCACCCAAGATTAGTCATGTGCATTTTAACATTTTGTGGGGGTGTTCTAACCTCTGGTCTATATATATCAGAAATACAGACAAGAGGACTCAGATAATCTTTAAAGATTACCCCTGAACAATGTCTACACGACTGAAATGCAATAGGTTTGAATGAATAGCTAGACTTAAATATTTTTATGACAATAAACCATACATTATCTCTCAAGATTGATGTTTTCTGCTCTGAGAGGTAACAGCTGTAAACCACATGGCCCTTCTTTACAGGTGCTGAAAGCTGTCTTTGGTTTATCCCACCTCGTTAGTCTTTCCCTTCGAAAACACGTCTTACACGACTTAGTCATTCTGTTGGGAAGAACAGAATGAACATCCTGTATAATTTATCGTTATGTTACCTACCTGCTATCTTTATCTTCAATTATAAGGAGATTGGGGCCGCCAATAATGACTATATACATGTATACATGCATAGATGGATACGTATATACATACAGTCATGGATGGACGGGCGAGTGCAATAACGACAAAAGTACATGGATGAGAGACAACGATGATGTACACACAGCACAGAAGGAAAATAGAAGGAAAACATTGAAAACATTTTATATATATATACAATATATATATTTTATATGCACACATGCACACATACGTCATGAAATCAACTTCAACATAGGCGTAAATGAAGAACAATGATGACAACATACATTTATGGGTGGAAATCAATGGCACATATATACATATAGACAGTTTTGACAACAATATGCAAACATGCATAATAACATGCCTACAAGGATGGATGAAAATTAGAATTAGATAATAGCGTCTGGATGTAAATATGTTTATAAATTGAAGAGGTTGAGCATGACTACATACATATTGCCATAGATATATACAATCATTAATAAGCATGAGCAAACACAGAAGGAGGAGTAGGGGTACAGCATGCTTACAAAATTACTTACAAAGATGGATTGAAACGTACAGTGCATAAAAATATAGAGAGATGGATGAGGACAAGGATGTGCACTCGCACTCGTCCACATCATACATATATTATATGTATACACATGTGGTCGTAAAACATTGTGGACTGTGTGTATTTCTTTTCATATACACAAAGGGATGTACATACATAGTGTGTATGGCCTGGCATCTATTCATATGATACATGCCGATTGATGGAGGAGGAGGATGACTACATCCATCCCTTGAGAAATACATGCATGATGATTCATACAGAGATGGAATATGAGGAAAACAACATACATACATGGATATAGGATAATAAAATGCATACATGAATATACATAAGAATTTACATACCTAAATAAATACATCTGTACATGCATATGCAAATTCTTACATATAAATATATGGATGGAGGACAATGGCCGCATATACGATTATCCACAAGGACAGAACCAGTAAAAGACTTGGACATAATGTGGTTTAGGCAGGTGGGATGGTTAGCAGCACAATCTCCTTATAGCAAGTGAGTTCCAAGTTTGTTTCCTGGCTTGGGGCCTTTCTGTGTGGAGTGTGCAAATTCTTACTGTTTATATGTGGGTTCTCTCCATAATAGTTCTTTCTGGGTAGTTTAGCTTCCTAACCACTTTCCAAAAACATGCATGTTAAGTCAACTATAGTGCTGAATAAGTGTCCATAACAGTGAGTGCGCAGGGTTGACAATCTCTCATGTGTGACACTGTGATGATCTTGTCGACTACATAGTGACTCTGGATGGACTTATCAACTTCCAATTTTACAGAATGGAATTGTGGCATTAGCATTTATTAGTTATCAGTTCTTATGAAAGATTTTGAGGAAGCCACTTGGATAAAATTATGAAGATTAGGGCATTTTGTGAACATTACAAAACTGCTGAACAAAGGTTGAAATCTATTCTTTCTGTGACTGAATGTAACGTATAAATCAGGGCAAAATTCTAACTAAAATGTAGAGCTTTGCCAATTAAACAGTAATGATGTGATTGCACTCAGTATGGAACATTAAGTATGTTTTTTGGGCCTACTATATGTGACTCCTTGTAAAAAGTGTGCAAAGAAATGGCAGTGATTGAAGTTTGCTATGTGTTCATTATGGAACTGTGGTCATGCGTAATGGATTTGATTCAGATTACAACTACTTCTGATTCCATTGTCCAGTTCATTGGTGGCTCATAGCAATTATTTGTGCTCCTGAGCAAGTCAGGTTCGGTATAGATTATACTTTAATCACCATTTCCAACTGGCCCTTGAGGACAAGAGTTCAACAACTGTGCCCATGGATGGTCCGCCTGTCCAATGCAGACACACATGGACAAACAATCACATAAAGAAAGGTCCTGGTTTCCCCAGGGAATTGAACCCAAAACCCTCTTGCTGCGAGGCGATGGTGTTAACCATCATACCGAAGTGTTGCCCTCCTTGCAATAATTTGTGTAAAACCTCAAATCTTTATGCACTTCTTACTATATTCCACTAGAGGGTAATGTTCCCTTGTAAAAGTAAATGTGAGGCTATCAAAGCTTAGGGAGACTTGGAAACAAAAACTCCTTAAAAATTAGCATAATTTAAATCACACTCAGATACCTATGCCCTGAGCTCTAACTCTAATTCACACAATCTGCTGAGACTTAGCAGCATTATTGCTACTTCTCTCCTCTCTGGAGCGGGTTTTACCAAACCATACAAATAATTTTACATTTCTCTTTTACATCAACAATGTCCAGAAGTAGTAGTTATTACAATCTCAAGTCACATCAAATGTTTTTCCACAAATCTGGGTTTTTACCCTATATTCAGTCTAATATGTTGATATGTATGTATCATTGAAGAACAAAAACTTATATAATGAAAACTTACTTGTTTGTAGCCATAAATTTCCATTCTTGGATTACATCTTGTATCTAGCCACTTCTTTATGTAAAGGCTAACTAATCTCAATCTTTGAAGCAGATAATGGAACCTTGTAGGCAGACAGTGGCTACATCTACCATGGAAACAATCCATCTTGCATACACCAACAGCATCCACTTTCTAGGAAGTCCTGAATTATGTTTTCAATCTCCAGTTCTTCAGCAACATCCCTCTGAAACTGCACTACCTGCTACCATCATTCAAGTCTTCCTTATCTACTTAGACACCATACTCATTTTTCATTAACTATTATCTTCATATGTTGCAAATGTTCTAATTCATTTCATTCTACTCATGTAGATATTCCTGGACTCTCTCCACCTCTAACCTATTTACAAACTACTATCTCCATCACCATTTTGAATGCTAAAGAACAAATTGTACACCCTGCCTACGTTTCTTGGCTTTGTCAACCTGTTGTGAAACAAGCTGTACTTGAGCACGGTCTAATATCCTGGAAACATGCTATCACTAAGTAAACACGACTACATACACCCAGTACAGGCAATTGTTGATATCAAGTATGGACAAGTAATAATACTATACATAAACAAACATGACCTTAACTTTTTTTCGTTGGACATTGCATTTATGGCAAGAATTGCTGATTTAAATAGTGTGCTTAAGATTATTTTAGTGATCTGTAAGTGCATCCACTCCATTGCCAAAGCTTTGTCTGAGGTTTGACTGTAACTGCTTCCATCTATATTAGAGTTTTAAGAGTCTGAAGTATATGCAAATCCCTGACTTCATGATGTGCAAAATAAGTCATGTAAATGTCCAAATGATCATCACCCTTAAGGTGGTTGGATAAGAGGGCTGGAACCATGATCAGAAACAAACACGAAGGGGAAAAAGCAGAGGCTTTTAAAACATCAGATGAAAGTCATGTGTTTTGGGATGATTAAGTTTAGTAATATATTTCTTCCCTACATACAAGAAATCTAAACTTGACTGTATCTATGCACTGCATGCACTGAAACTATCTTTGTGTTAATAATAAAAACTGGTTAAGGAAGTTTAAATTTTTTTTTTAGTCCAAATTTTCCTGCATGGTGAACAATTGTGCAACTGCTTCTGGTGTAATCAACTTTAGTCAACCAGCCACAAATGTCATGAGTGTTACTCATGCTTTTATTTGTATCTCCCGTAACCTAGGAAACATTTTGCCATACTCATAAAAAAGAATTTTCCTCCAGCACTGCAAGCATTTTGCCCCACTGACACAGAGTCTGATACACTGCAGAGGGCACTGCTCCTGGAAATTCTTTTTCAGTTGGTCCAGCTTGTTTATGTATATAACTTTCACAAAACAGCTTTATCTTACTGGTTGCTGCCCTGCACTTGATGAAAACAGTCACTAAAGTTACAGTATTTGCTGTTCTTATTAAAAAATTACATTTGCTATGACTCAGTGTCACAAGTAAAACAAGACAAAAACTCCACTGTTCAGTTAGAATCTTCTTGGATAGGCACAGGTTTATAATTAAATAAAAACCATAGGTGATAAAAATTAAAAATTGACACAGGATTATGATAACTTTTAATGTGCACAGCATGATACTATACAGTAAAAGCAAGGAAGGAAAAAAATCATCATGTTCCTGCGATAAAACGGTAAAAGGAAATATCAGAAGGCTACCTCATATGGATTCACCCAAATTTAAAGTGGGAGGTGTCACATCGATGCCTCCTTGCATCATATCCATAGTAAAAAAACAACAACAGAACAAACCTTGTGCAGACAGACATAAGGTGAGGGTGCCATTTTATGTTCCGGTAGCAAAAAAAGACAAAAGAAATTCAAAATCACACATTGCGCCTCCCATTGTCTTAATTCTATTGCCTTACTCTGTACACAGCACATATGGTTGCAACTTTAACAGCTAGTTCTCTACTCTCTTTGAAAATGCAAAAATGTTTTTAATCAATTAAGAATACTTCTCAATAGATTAAAGCGCTGGAATAAGGCCATTCTTTTCTATATGAACACCCACAAAGACCATACAGGATAACAAAACAATTGCAAAAAAATAAACTTCTTCATATTTATGACAAAGTGAAAACAATAAGACTTAGAGGCATAGATATTGTGCATTTAAATGCAGTGAGTCTCAAAGTAAGATAGAAACTGATTACAAATCTCAGGAGCGTTAAAAGATAAGAACAGGTTTGTTCAGTTTCATTAATATTCTCGGTCACACGTTGCTGCTAGGGGTGATGATGAAAAAACCCGCAGTGAAGAACGTAATTTAGGTGGTAAGTGAAACAAAGTGATTTGAAGAGATGGTTTTCTGCACCGCCGGACAGCTCGACAGTTGTGGCGGAAGCAAGGCGACACAGATATATTCAGGCAAGAGGACATGTTCAGTGTGTCAGACTGCTGAGAGCCGTGGGAGGGAGAGAGGAGGGGAGGCAGGTTGCATTTGATGTATGTATGAACAGAGGGAAGGGCTGCTTACAGAGCGCAGTTGTTTTAAACTTTGCTGAGTGAGACAGAATGTGCTCTTTGTTTTTTCACTGACTATCAAAACCCTGACATCTGACCATCCCAGCCTGTCCGGTGGTTTTAAAAAACCAAACACATGCACAAGACAGCATTGGTACAGTCTGACATATTCCCTCACAGAGTTACTTCAGTGTGGCAAGCTTTCTAAAAGGCAGTAATTAATGGCAGGAATCTACAAGATGTGGCAAAAACTAATGACATGAAACTTGTTTGTGTGCTTATGAAAGGTAATAGTGGGAGAAGATATGAGTTCCAAAAGTTGTACACACTAAAAGAACAAAAAACAAAACAAAACAACAACGACAGATACCCAGATGAATAACCTTCTAATTTTATGTGCATAACCATTTGGTTATGCCAACAGTGGAGAAAATTAAAACAGCTGGTAAGAAAGACAGGATCAGGTGCCATGTGACCATGCCCTGCCACCTCTGAACATCCCCTGCCTGGCTCTGAAAATGTCTCACATATCTCCAGAGATCTATATTTTTCTTTTATAACTTTTCCCTCCATTTGTGATCCTCCAATCCTCTCCCAATTCCCCCTCCCTCCCATTTCCATCCAATTTCTGAATATTACACCTCTTTGGTCATGCGGAATCGAACGTTGCTGAAACATCTGCCCATTGCCTCAAACAGGGGGTCACAGAAGGTATGGATGCAAATGGAATACACGCGGCTGATACAATGGATCTCAATCAGGTAGCTCTTGATGCATGGCACCACAGCCCAGATGTGCAGGAAGGACAGGATGGCAAAGAAGATTCCCCATATCAGCGCCAGTGGGATGCCGACCAGCGCTGTCAACAGCCTGTAGCACCAGTACTTGGTGACGGTGAAAGTGGTGAAACTGGCTTTCCACACACCGTCAAAGCTGTAGGTTCCTGCAGGCTCTGCTATAATGTCCTCAAAATCCACCTGAGAAGGGCAAACGAGAGACAATGCTTTACACATAGACCAAAATTATCATTTGAAGCTGCCATGACACTATTAACTAACTAATCTGAAATTTTTCTGTTCAGCCAAGGAAAAGGAATTCTTCTGGAAAATGCAATGTCAAACAACAGTCCAAAATGTGATGACAACCGACATCTAGTCCAAAAGTTCATTAAATTATCCAGTCAATAAAATTAAATAAATCTATCATAGTCTTTTCTGATTAGGTAAACTGAAAGGACACAGGATGATGTCTACTGCATAAAGAAAAATATGTAGTTGACACAACCCAACAATGAGGACAATTCCCTTAAAAGAAAGTAACATTGATAAAATGCTAATATATACAGTATAAGATTAGGATGAACTGATTATGAAAAACACAGATTTGGATGAACTGAGTATGAAACACACAATCTAAAATGTTTCACAAGAATCCTGATATGGTGCAACTAAAATTACTCTACAGGCTTAATTGGTTGAAGTCATAAAATCCATGTAAATAAAGAACTTCTTCATCACTGATGTGTCAGCTTTGCAGAATAGAGCGGTGGGATTCATGACAAGATTGATGTTTTCTTTGCCACAGCTGGTACACAGGCCAATATCTGCTCAGCTCAAAATACCAATTTCTCAATGCACACCATCTCTGCTTTCTGTAAATCTGCTTTAGGATTTGTGTCTCCGGAGCTGCTTGGAACGTGACTAACAGAACAAACCACTGAAAGACTATGGCAATCCAGCTGTGTTTGACTGGCAGGAGATTTCCAGGACAGAGTAAAACACCTCTCTCATGCCTTTAATGGGAGGCTTTCTGCAAGTGTCCACGACCTGACCTCTGCTTTTTAAGGAATGAAAAGTGGCATCGCAGTGCTTACTTCCCCCTCCTTTCTTGTCTCTTATTCCCTGCAGGCTTCTGAGAGCAGAGTCAATGTTTATTTTGCAGTTACTTGGAGACTGGATCTTGTGGAATACAGCGGCTGGGCTACTGGGAGCTAATGACTATATTATCAATAAGTCAAGCAGATAATATCTCGTGTCACGCTGAAAGTGAGATGGAAAAGTTGAAGTACTTAATTCCTTAGGAATCCAGGATGTGATTCCAATTTGTACTGCCTACTGACACATTTAATGAAAATCATGGCAAGTTTACTTTGGCTATTTTTGGATCTAAGGATATATCTCTTATGTGATTAACATCTTTCTTTTTTACACTTCACACTGATATTGCCTCATGTAAAACAATTGCAAGACTTTGTTGAGAGGAAAAAAACGTCATTGTGCTCTTTTCTCTTCATTTGAAATACAATTATAGCCTGTGAGCTTTTCTTAGATCAGAAAGCAAAAACAATAGTAAAAAATGGAACTCATGTTAGGTGTTACTCTTTGGATGAACAAAAAAATGCTTGTCACATGTCAAAAGCTTTTTCTTTCTGTCACTCACCTCCACTTACTGGTTGTCACTGTGCTTTGTTTTGCCTTAACAAATTAGATGCAATTTATTTTCATATTGTGAAAGGTCTAAACTGAAGGCAAACCACTCCAACACAAAGACCCACGTTTTTGTAAACAGATGTAGTTTGTGCTTTGGCGTAATTTTGTTCAACTGTACAAGGCCTTCCCTAAGACGGTTCAAACTAGAGTAAAAATTAAATCAAAATCCTCTAAGCATCGATTCTGTCTTTCCAGATGTGCAAATAGGCAGGGTCATGGGCACTACAGTCTAAGTTCCTTCTTCCTCGAGGTATCCATTACTTCTGAAAACTATTTAAATCTCCCTGACCAGAGAAGTTTTCCATCTTAACGGAAATGTACAATTCACAATATTAAATATGAAGAAGGTTTATTAAGTAAAGCATATTTTATTACTTAGTTCCTACTAAGAGTAGACATTAAATATTTTCAGTTAATGATGACCTATTTTGGATAAGGGCTCTTTCATTCTAGCGTCTGATTTAGTTTTCCTATCTGAAAATAGCCTTTTGTGAATCCTTTACTCCAAGCAACAGTATCATTGAGCCATCTCACAGCACCAGCTGGGGGTGCAACCACAAAAACCAGCCTACCATCCACTTAAGTTTTCCATTGCCCTTCTGCAGAGAGGAAAAAAACAACCACAACAGAAAGGTGGTGTTTTTTCAAACTTAAATCAGGTGAAGCTGTTCCTTTATGAAGCAGTTTGAAGCAAATCCTTACCCCATGATTATTGTAAAGTCATTTCTTAAAGTTAGCAAGGTTTTTCTCTATAAAACTAAAATTTTACAAACGTACAAACAATCTACAAACCGTATTTAGTTGCGATAGGAATATTGCTTGGCAGTTAGCTTTCAAGAGAAAAGAGCGCCTTTTTGAGCAGGTGTGAATGAAAGGGTTTCAGTTCAATGAGTATAAGAGAGCCTGGAGATAAAAGTGTTTTAACTTCTGCGTGCTGATTAACAATTTAGACCTCTGAAGTGAGGAGTTTGCATGGGTTCTCTCCGGGTTCTCTGGCTTCCTCCCACTGTCCATAAACCGGCATGTTAGGTTGATTCGAAATTTCAAATGACCCCTTAGGAGTGAGTGTGAGTGTGTGTGGTTGTTTGTCATTGTGTGTCTCTGTGTGGCCCTGCGATGGACTGGGGACCCAGTAGTCACCCATTGACTACTGGGATAGGCCCCAGTCCCCCCCCCGACCCTGTAAGGGACTAAGCGGTTACGATAATGAATGGATGGAAGTTCAGTGGAAAGTTTGCTATGAAACAATGGAGTCTTGGGGTCAGCATGTGACAAGTTGGCATGGCAACAGTAATACCGAGTAAACAAAGCAATATGTTTTTTTTCTGAATTTGATCTTGAGAATGTCAGCTTTGCTCGACCGGAAGGAGATGCTCTAAGGTCGAAGTGCCACGGCCTGGTCCATTAATGGACATTTTGTTGTTTAAAGGCTTTTAGTAGTCATGGGGATGTAAAAAATTGGTTTACGGGAGGTGAAAGATTAGGATGATAGTAAGTATAGACACACTATCAACCGATCAAACTCGTCACCTGATGTTCTTGTTGAATTTCATGAATACCTGTTTGTGGCAAATCTATCCAACATGTTGTACCACATTTTTTAACGCATTTGCATAAATCAATGCTTTTTTTGTGTCCATATTTTCATGTGGTATCTTTACTTTACTTGTGTTACATTTAGATGGAGACAAAGCATACTGCAGAGAGGTCAGCGATTTAATATGATGTTATCACTCTCTGAGGAGTCTGTCATCCTTCAGAGATAATAGCAGAGGAATCTTCACAGTTGGATATAAACTATTTTCACACGTCTGTGTTAATACACAGTCCTGATGCTGGACCTCAAACTTCTCTCAACTCTCTCTAAAAAAATGCTCTGTGTGAGCATTTGAACTCTTTTCACCCCTGGATTCAAGCCCATCCTCTCCGCTATAAAAAGAGCAACAACTTTTTCTAAAGAAAAAAAAAAACTTAATGCAGAGTGATCTCCATCTGCATTACAGCAATAGCAGCCGTTTGATGTGGCTAGGTGATTGAGGCCAGCTGCTTCAAAAGCTACAGGAGAACAATGTACAATACTTAGATTACAACAAATGCTATGTGTGTGTGTGTATGCATATAATACGTAATTATGCGAGGGCTTTGCAAGTGTGGGCGTGTATCTGGTGAGGTTTGGTGGAAGGGATTCCCTGTTTGCGTTTTTCACTGTGGTGCACCGAACACACTTCCACTTGGCAGAACTGTTTCATGACCTCAGAGCACCTCAAAGCGGTTGTATAAAGCACACTGTAAAAGCTAGGAACTTGCGAAGAATTTGTTCTGAAATGCTGGGGGAGGCTGTGAGCGCATTTGGGTTTCTGATGTAGGAGTGTCATAACACATGGCTAGGAATTTTTAGATAGCATCACAATGTTTTTTTTTTTTTTTAGAACAGAGCGATATCTTAGTGATGCTATAAGCACACCAAGGTTAAAGGTTTTTAAGTTTTTAACCACTAACTATGTATTTTAAAACCTTAACCAAATTAATTTCCATTAGGTGTGGAGAAGAAAGAGAAAGAAACGAGTAAAAAGTAAAAAAAATAGATAGGTATTGAACTTTGACATTGGAGTTGATAGCAACTCTTTTCTTTATTTGTTAACCTATCAGCACTTTTGGCCCAAAAAGCTGTAATGCAGCGATGAAAAGCCGAAACAGAGAGATTGAAACACCAAACGTTAACCATGTCGGGACTTTAAATACCTCTCTGTAACATTTGTAATTTTCACGGTCCGCACATGTCAGATTATTTCAGCAGCAGCTTGGTGACGTAATTAGAGTGGGGTAGGAATATAATGAAACTGTGTTCTATTCCGAGACTGGAGGGAGAGTCTGACTCACTGTCACAATGAGGGGTTAGGAGGGAGAGAGAGCAGTTGGCAGGGGAAGCAGTGGAGACAGAAGCAGAGAGCAGGAAAAGTTTGACTTTATTTGAAAATCTGAAGGGTTCTTAAAATTTGATCACATGTTTTTTCAGCTGTAAGTTCAGCAACTACAATCACTTTACATATTTAATGTAAGATTGCAGGATTAAGGTTGCCTGCACCTAAACCACAAGTTGCTGTTGGCTCAGATGCAGGCTTGTCTTAAGGGAGGGAGGAGAGCAGTAGAGTAGAATGGGAGGAAGGACAGGAAGATTGGGAGTGGTAAGGGATCCCCTCAGCCTAACCACTTTCTTGAGAGTCTCCATGTTTTAACAAGGCAGAGTTCAGACATTTAAAAGATCCTACGCCTTCTGTCCCCATACAGCGACCTGTTTGACCCCACTCTGATGTGAAAGCCTGTCCCAGCTGGAGAGCAGAGCACTGGGGCTCGGAAAACTGCTGCTCCACCGCAGCATAAAGGCGCGTCAGGTGCCTTTCAGCGCGCCGCTCCCCTGCAATTTAACGGCTTTCTCTCCCGACGTCTTACAGAAAAACAAACCCACATTATTTCCACAGCCAGACCGTTTTATTATGAAGCGAATTCTATTTTCCCCAAAGCAAGACGTGTGGAACAACGAACGTGGGAAATGCGTGTTCCAGCAACAGGAAATACGCAATGTTTCCTCTGGAGCGAGGTCGTGTTGGGCACATTTCACTGTTTTATAATAGCAACGCGCAGACTGGGACCGCTTGACACGGTGTCACAAACGAGCCCTACTACGTTTGGAAAACCTTTTCCTAATAGGGAAACTACAGTGAGTGGCTACACAACTGAAATGGCTGCGCGCAGCAGCGAGAGAGTGTGCGCGCCTCCAACAGCCAACACTAGTTTGACTTCACATAAACTGTTTCTCTGAGTTGATCTTTAAAAAAATGTTTTTACTTTAAGTGTAGCAGAATAAAATACAATCGTAAGACATTCAACACTCTCAAACAAACAAAAAAAAAAACATCGGTTCAGACTCACCTTGACAACATCGTCGTTTACACGCTTGGGGTCACGGTTGACCAGATCTATCTCTTTGGTGTGGACATCCTCTAGAGTCTTCTCATTCAGGCTGTCGTTGTCCATGTCTTTATTGTTCGGCTTGTATATGTTTCCTTGTTTTCGGATGAAAGGCGAATGTAAAAACTCCTATAAAAAAAAGGATCGAAGGGAACAGAAAAAGAGGAGCGTCAGAGGAGGAGGAATAGAGAGCAGTGCGCCGAGAGGGGAGAGAAAGCTGGAGCTCCAAGTCACAGGCTTGCCCCTACAAACAGGGATGGGTTTAAATTAACAGAAAACGAAGCACCACACCCCTGCGCCCAGCCGCAAGGGGTCCTCACCACCCAGATAGAGATACGGAATTTTGAGATTTTCATGCTGTGAGTTTAACTTGCGCCACACCTGTAACTGTGGCAATAGCTTATAAAAATGCATGAAAACTCACATCCCAAACACAAAAGTCTACCATATTCCCAAAGACTACTAAAACTATCTACATAATGTTTAATTTGATCTTAAGTGAGTTATATGTATCTGATTGTGATGTGAGTTGTGAAAACATGCGGTCATTACAGTAATTTTCCAAGTAAACTGCTCTGAAAATAATCTGTTACCGATCCTAAATGCTCTCCTTCTGTCACGGTCTCATTTAGACGCTGGTCCTATAGTTTTGATTCATGAGGAAGATTGATTGTTTCCATGGAACAGATTTGCTCTTCTGCTTTTACGCACGGAGTATTCAGTATTAAACTAAAAGTCGATACGCTGCTTGTGGCCTTTCCCACCGGGGCATGTTTAAGTAAAATCAATGGATCTTCACAATTCCCTAAGCATATGTCAGAGAAGAATTTGGACTATGTGCCAGAGGTTTAAAGAAACAGCTCTTGAAGAGAAAGCGGAATTTTCCCTCGTTTATATAATTTAGTGTGGGCTGACTATAACCACTTTAGTAAGGAAGGATCAGCATTAGCTATAAATTTACAGGACTAAATCAGCCACTGGTAACTGAGAACCATACTGTACCTCGTCGTTCTCTCCGTCCCTCAGTTCTCCTGTCATTATGTCCTCAGGTTTGAAGGCTTTCTCGCGTTGAAACAGGCGACACAGTGCGAGGGGGTGGCGCCGAACCAGATTCAGAGGGGCTTCCCTCAGAGAGCCTGACAGTGGACTTATCCCTGGTAGCTCTGAACGTGACGGAAATGTAATTCCGGAACGTCGAGGGAAACCTCCAGTCTGTGTTTCTTGGGATCCCACTGAGAGTCACTGTGAGCTCAAAGACGAGAGCTACCGCGAAATCTGCACGACTGGAGGAGAGACTGACGTGATCTCACACTGAAGGGGTGTTGAGTGCATGGAATTAGTTCATTTGGGGATCGAGGCAGAGAAAAATAACATACCTGTTCAGACTAATGTGGTTGTTTATTGGGAATGACCAGGTGTAAATGCCTTTTCTTCCTGACATGACCATTTCAAGTTGTTTTGATGTAGTGGGGCAAGAGAATAGATAAAGAATTTCCTAAACAAATCTGTTAAAAACTAAATAGAAACAATAACCATCTAAAGAGGCAAATATTTCAGCAATGGGAGGCGTAATATTAACAGTTTGGTTTCACATGTAATTCAACAGACTGAGGTCTTCTGTTTGTTTGGTTTTGTTGTTGTTTGGCTTATTGAAAGTGAAACAGCTGGCACACCCTTTCAGAAAAAATCCCAGATCAGCAAAATTGAGTCACTGTTGTCACTGACTAATAGGTGTGTGAAGAAGCAAAGTGGACGGATTTCAGCTTTTTTGTGCAGACACAGTGGTGAGAACTCTGAAAGTTGTAACTTTTATTTATTTATCTATTTATTTATTTATTTATTTATGACTGTGTGCTGCCTAAGTATTTGGCAACCCCTTGTTTCTGTCCATCTGTTCACCACAAGGCTACAGGTCTGATGTGATTTTCAGTAGCTCAAGTACATGAGCTTACATTGATGCTTGTGCACTTCTCACTACTTCATCACTATTGCACAGATTAGCACAAGATGAGAGAAATTTAGACAGAAACAAGACTTCCTAATCCTACAACCCCTAAATCCTTTATGTTTTGCAATTAGGCCAATTCAAGAGTAATTTTAAAAGGCCAACATAAGATTAAATATAACATAAACAGAAAATTCTGCTAAACTTAAGGCAATTTTTACTGTGAAACCTTGATTTTACAACATTAAATATCTTCAAATAGTCTTTAGGAATCCGTCAGACATTTGAAAGCTCTACTTTGGATGTTTGCCTTTTTTTAAACACATTTTCTGTCAAGGTGAATCAACACTGCAGTCATTGACCAGAGTAAACTCTAAATGAGCTTTGGAAAGTCTGGAGGACTCTTTCTTAGTGAATCAGGCCCATAGTAAGTTATAAAAAAGGTTTTTGCAGAATGCCACTAGTTTTCATCTAGAGTCTTAAGGTAATTCCCTTTGTCCAAAATAATCAATCACACCATCCAGATTAAGCAGAACATTTCTGGTTTCTCCAAACAAACAGAGCACTGCTAGATGAAAAAACTTTGAAATAGTTAATAGGTGAAAGAAAGAGGCATTGCTTCCTGTGATCAGTATGGGTGCCTTGTAAAAGTGGATAGAACGATAAGGAAGACATACCATTCTGGCAGACAATTACTTTTTTTTTTATCTTTGGCAGCATTAAATCCTTTTACAAAACAGGCTAATACAGTTATAAAGAAAACTGAGACCATTATCATAATTTTGGAGCCAAATAAGGTCCAAGACTGAATTTTACTCAGAATGTGCAGGTATCTTAAATAAAAATGATGGCAAGAAAGTCTTTTGACCTGAAAGACTTTTAACCATGGTCAACACATCGACAAGTATTTGTACGCAACAAGTAAACCTTTATCACAAAGATTTGGTGAGAAAGCCTGCTGTAAGGTGATTGACATTTACAATCGTCAAATATAGTTGATTTGACTTCTCAGTAGGTGAGATAGTTACTGTGTTTCTCTGCCTTAGGCATCCACCACCCCATAAAATCACTTTGACCCAAGGTGATATAAGGTTTGAAAACAGTGTGGGAACTTTCATTTGCTCCACCTTGATTTTTTTGACAGAATATGTAAATGTCACTCAGAACCTGTTTTGAAACCACTAATCATGTCTGAGTGCATCTTGTGAGAATCTGTGTGACAATTTGCAGTTCATGCATAGAAAACATTTTAGTTAACAAAACTTTGATGTAAGACAAACAATAATCAAAACATTTCATATATTTAGATAAACACATATTTATCTAAGTAATTCACCATATTTTACAGAGATATGGAAAAAAGTACCATCAGCAAACATGGATTCTCAATTCTGAGAACAACAAAAACACTGACTGAAGATGTAGCGATGGACAAATACTTGAAAAGGAGCCAATCGCTGTCCCAATTTAATTCCTAAAACATGGAGATTTACGTATTACGAACCCTCTTAACTAAAAAATGACATAACCAAGTATGAAGTAAAGTAGAAATAAAACTGAGTCTCTTTGAGTCAATGTAAATTAACGGCTCTGAGTTGAGTTGTTCATAAATCATGAATGCAATTATCAAAGACCTTATCAAAGACCTGCAGACAAATTTTACAACAGGAGATTACATCATAAGATGACTATTGTTTGTCATATTTTGGAAATTTGCGGTTGAGAATGTCAACATTGAGTTTTTTTCAGCCATTTGGTATGAGGGTGAGGCAGCTATGGTTGGGTTACCATCCATCCATTGTCCACACTGTTTATTCCTAGTAGGGAGCTGGAGCAAGAGGCGGAGAACACCCTGGACAGGTCGTCTGTCCATCGCTGGGCCACGCATAGAAAAACAACCACATACACTCCTAGTGACAATTTACAGCCGATATGTTATATATATCAACATTTTTGTTGATTTGAACTCACTATGGTTTGGGTTCTTCATTTATGTTCAATGACAGCCAATCACAGCTGCAATCATCCAAATCAGACAACTAATGACCCACACACTATACAGTCACACATCATGTCCATCAACAAGCACAATGCTATTTGACGTACCCCCACCCCACCCAAAAAAGGTACAAAGTAAATTATTTCATACGTTTTATAAAAATCAAACAAATGAATACATTAATTGATCTATAAGATGAAGTCAATCAATCAATCAATCAGTCACTCCAGAGGGGTAGTTTGGTGGGCACTCCTGGGGTCAGCAGCACTCCAGTCTCCATAGAGGTTTTGATAATAACTGAGTATCAAAATCTCTGTAACTGATCCTAAATAAAGACAACACCTAGAATTACTTCACATGAAGTATGAAACATTACAAAATACTGCTGATGTAGAGATATTTTGGACAGCGAGCTACAGTGCAAAAGCTGTGCAGGCCTGCAGGTCTAACAGCAAAGCCTCAGGTGATGTTCTATCAACCCACAACTTTGTACAGGAGAACATCTTGTGCAATTTCAGCAAGTGATTTATGACATTTTTCTGGCACTCAGCTGCATATCACAATCCCACTCATCTTCTGTGGCAAAAAGGAGAAATCACTCAAAGAAGTATTACCTTTAGGAAAAATGTATTAATTTTGCTCAATAAACATGTAAAAAGCTTCATTCCAATATTAAGAGAAAAGCAAGTCAAAAGAAGAAAAATAAAATCCAGTCAGTTTTTCCTAAGAGGTTGAATTTATATGTCTTTAATCTAGATGTAATTACAACAGGGCTGATAGAGTCCAATATGGTGAAGAATCTCTTCATATATGTACCTATCTTTTTAAAACCTATGTTTAATTGCACAACCCTATCTATTTTTAATATATCCATGCCAATCTGAAACTAAACACAATATAGTACAGTCAAAACCTGAGAACCATTCCATATATTATCCAGATTGAGATTGAAAAATTCAGCTGCTTGAAGTGGGTACATTTTGACCACTTAAAACAGCTGAATTTAAAACAAACAGTAAATGCTTGGATGTGCTTCTTGTTTCTTGGAATATCTGGATGACCATCCGCAACGCAGTTTTTTTTTTTTTTAAACAGACTTATTGCCTCATAAATTACCTAAATGATCTGATCCCTACCAATATGGAGAGTTTTCAATTCACAACCAAACCCAAATAGTCGATCAACTAGAAAACAACTTAATGATATTTTTGGAGGGAGTTCGTTCACAGTGAAGAGGAAGCTGTAACATAGTTACTCTAGCGCTGAGTTTGTTTTTGTTTTGGTCACTAATTTTCATGTCATTTCAGATCCTGCTCTTCCCTGCCATGCAATCTCTCATTGCCCTCACCTGGTTCTCTCCGCCCATCTCCTCATCTGCAGTTCGTTAGCTCCTTTGGTCCACAGTATTTATACCAGTCCATTTCCACTTCATCCCTGCCAGATTGTCTTGTGTTGGTCCGTGCCAATCTTTATAGCATTTACCTGTTCTGCCTACCTGTTCTGACCTCGCTTTTGCCCTACTCAGACTATGGATTCCTGCATGCCCATTATCGGATTTGTTTGATCTCCTGGTTTTGATCTCCTGGTTTTGACCTTGCCTGTTTTTGGACCAAGTAAACAGATTTTCCCTTAAGACTTGCCTTTAATGTTGTCGTGCATTTGGGTTCTCTGTTACCAGTACCAATGGTCGTGACAGAAGCTCCACAAACCTAACCAATGATGTTGCATAGTCTGGCAGCAGAGTAGCTCCTTGGGTCTAAGAAAATGTCTTTGATGTATTCAGATGTTTTGTATGTAGTCAATGTAACCAGTCTCTAAAGAGTCGAAACACAAATAGAATGCAATTTAATGCAATGTTTGTTTATTTCTAGACAGTGAATCCAAAAGCAGCTTGAATTGGTGTTGACAAATGCCAATGTCTCATTATAAATTAACATTTGAGTATCAAACAAATGCTCTTTAGTGCTCGCTAAACTACATATTGTGCATAGCGGTTATACTGGCCTGAATGTAAACCAAATAAAATCCACTGCAAAAGGGTAACATTCATGTTGCTTTCTGGAGAACAAGCTAAACTGCTGAATGAAAGTATCAGAGTCTCTGCTCTGCTGAGACTTGAACCAAACTCTTCTTTCCTTTTTCTTAATACACACTTAAGAAAGAGATATAGAAAATTATATTATATCATATGCTGTCTAAAAGCAAATGCCTAACATTACTGTCAATGCTCTATGCACAATATTGACAATATCAATACATCATCAACACAGTAATGTAAGCCTATAAATATATGTTGATGTAAAAAAAAACATCACTCTAACTGGTTGACAGCTCTGATTCAGCTAACAGTATCTACCTTTTAGTTTAATGCTATGCATTATCATTAATTAATTATCACTCATATACATCAAGGATAATTAAATTAAACAGCAGTTAATTAAATTTTTTATCATAAACATCCATAAATCTCCATTTGCTGATTTGAAACACATTTGATGCATATGTGGTACATGAAACATTACAAAATAGCCAAATAAATGTTGTCAACAGTTAAAGGTTATTAAGTTTTAACTTGATTTGGCATTATTCGAACCCTAATATCTACACCCTGGAGAACATGACCTGATGTAGCAAGGTGCAGCATTACTGACATAACTTAAGCAAATAAAATCTACGCATGAAAGTACATTTTAGATAAATGTCACATAACAGGATTTCATATTTAGCTTTATGAGAGCTATTTGAATTACTCCAACTTTTACTATTATTCTAATCCTGGCCAATAACTCCTTCTCCTGTGGGACAGACAGTTATCTGTGTCAGTTTTCTGTAACTTGTGTTTGAATGGAGGACAAACATTTTCCCATGCTTTGGAATAGCGGAGTTACAAACATATCCATCAGACCGTTCCATACTTTCTGCAAAGATGGCAAGAACATCATGAGACTCTGAATTGTGGGCATCGCCAACCTGCCGAGACAAGGCAAACAGAAAATTCTTTAAGAATGTAACAGTATGTGGTAGTTGGATCTCCAGTGATGTCAATCTCTGAGCTTTTCAATGTTTGCCAAATAGAGAATTCTAAGTTGTTTACAAAAGTGGCCTTCAAACACTGAGTAATGTTACTTGCTTGAATATGAACTTGGATGAAAAGTTTGACTTCGGTAGCAACAACACTCTCCACAAATGGTCAAATGAGCTGATCTAGAATTTCTAAATCAACAAATACTGTTCAGTATTTTCTATTTATGTTTAGAAAGACTGACTAGATAAATCCTAAAAACAGACAAACCAACGAACAAAAACCCCCACAAATACTGAGTATAACAGTGATTATCCAGGTTTACTACTAAAGAATGACAGACATAACACTGTAAAATGTATCTGAATGCATTGTTCTGGAATATTTATCATGAAAGGGATACTGCACAGCTATGATCGAGCATACTAACACTTTATTATTTTACAGTAATAGTGAAACAGAATGATCAAAACGTCTCCTTACCAGATATGAAGACAGCTAAGCACTCCAAAAACTAATCCGAGGATGAACGCCATGGGTACGGCCAGCAGGGTGGTCAGCAGGCGGTAGCAGAATAATTTGACCAGCTCAAATGCGGCATGACTTCCAATCCAAACTCTGTCGAAACTGTGTGTGGAAATGGGTTCCGCAATGACATCTTCAAAGCCCACCTGTTGGGTGATAAAAGCCACGGGCCAAACGATTAACCTCAGTGAATAGTCCAAACTCTCAAGCAGGAAACAGTTTAGAGATGACGGATCGACGCACGACGCACACTTCCAGGTATTCAGGGTGCTTACCGCTTTTGTTAAGAGTAGTTTTTAAAAACTTCCCGAATGCAAAATAATTCAACTTGATAGTTACGACCCTCTGAAGTTTTACCAGCACAAACAGTCCCCTTACACTGCACAGACTGTACCTTCATATGCGCGTTGACATCATTTAGATCTCGATCCGGAGCCGTTGTCCACAACTCTCCTTTTATAATAGGCTCGATGGACCTATTGAATTCATATTCGTCCATGACAATACTGGTGTCCAATTTTTCCCTTTCTAACCCCATGTTTTTAGGTCAGATATGGGATAGACGGCAGGGGGAGAGAAGCTCGCGACGGGCGTCGCGCGCCGGACTGAGAGGCACTCCGCCCCGTATGGAAAGCAGTGCAGCGGCGCGCCGAGAAGACACAACAAACTCATGTTACTTCCCACGATTATTCCAGCAGTTCAGGCCACAGTGTACTCTATATGCGTGTGGGGTATATGTGTTGCGAATATATGTTGGCTTGCAAAGCCAACAAGCCTTTTACGGCCTCGTGATTCAGTGTGATTACTCCTCAGAAACGTTTCCCCTTCAAAAGAGGAGAAATATAAGCCTCTCCTCTATCTTACATCTGTGAATTTATGGATAGGGATGGAAAATATGTAACTTCATCTTAAATAGGAAACATCACTTATCTGTGTCAACAAGCCTGTAATCTCTGAGGGAAAAGAAACACCTATCTTTGTTTTCTTAGCATTATCTTAAAACAACAGCTTGGTATGGGCTCTGGAGGAAAAGGCATTGCTACACCTGTTGAATTGATTTATTGTGTAGGCTGTTCTCTTTCAATTATTGGTCTACTGCTCTAATTTATTGCTTTGACTTCTTCATGCTTTAAACATACCAAACAGCCAATACTTTTAAAGGGCAGGTCTTAATATGTCTGAAAAGGAACAACAGGAAGACTTTCTCATCCCATAGCTAATATTTCATATGATGTTAAATATGTGTAAATATGAGGACAATGGGTTTACATTATTAAAATCTCAGCAATATATGGCATATTTATGAAATGTATTTAGATTGTACATTTTCAGAATACTGTATATATTGAAATATGATAAAATGCAGTCATACATTTTTTCGGGGTTGTTTGGAGTTCTATTCTTCTTTTGACATTTGACATTTAGATTCAGATTTATTTAAACAACTAAATGTCTTTAGTGTAAAATTTTCCACGTACAAAGAGTTGTTAAAGTGGCTATATAACAATTTTTAGAGGATGCTCTATTGAGCACCATGGAAATTCCTTAATAGTCATGTGACTTTAACCCTACTCAACATTTATGGGACTTTTCAAAACCCCTGACGTCACAGGAGCTCTTTTGGAATGTTCTTGGATCTGTTTGGCATGACGTGAGAACCACGTTCGGAAAATAGCAGCACCTGAATTATGATTATAGTTGGTTAAAAAAAACGAAAAAAAACTAAATAAAGTATTTGAAAGTGAGAATGATGAAGTATAACATAAGATCTGCAATTGCAAGATAACCACATCTATTTTGTTAGCAACCAAAAGGAGAAAGGGAAACTTTTTTCAATCATTGTTGATCCTCCCTTGAGTCATACTATATCAGGGAGAGTCAATGTCGCTGCTAAATGTTTATTTAAGTAAGTCCGGCTGTCCTGTTTATTAATGTGGAAGATTCAGCATCCTTACTAACTAGTGGACAGAATGTAAACAACACAACCTTTTATTTTCACACAAGGGCTTATAAATGAAACAAAGTAGGCCCAAACAGTAACAGTCAACTGAGCACAGCACAGGGATGGTGAGTATTTTAGACAGAGTGATCCCTGGTCATGAACATGGTGACAATACAAGACCACAATCCTCGTGGATTAACACATAATAGACCCTTCTGAAAGGCGAGCATTCAGCTGGCGGTTGGGTTGTGGGGGTGTGGTTTGCGAGCACGAACAGTATTGACATATTTATATGTGCATATGTGAGAGAAAAAGTAGCAGAGAAATAAGTTGTTTCTGGTTTGTGTTACATTGTGGATACCTCAAGATTTTTGTGCAGCTGGCAGCAATTTCTCTTTACTCTAAATCTTAAAATTTGTTTAAATTTAATTAATTGTTAGAGCTCTCTTCCCTTTAGTAAAATAAATACTTTATTGATTTTTTAAGAATTCCCATTTTACACAGCATTCCAACGTCATGATTTGGAATGCTCAGTCATGATTTTGTTAAATTCTTATAATTTCTTTCCACAGTAAAATTATCCAACATCTTTTGCATTCTCTCCAACATATTGCTACAGCCCTAGTCTGGTTTCTGACCTTACATTAGCCTACAAACATGGCAGGTTAATATTGAATTAACACAATAAACTGCCAAAGAACATGTAGTGCAACATTTCCTATACACCTGCCCACCAACATGGAATACAGTGGAGTGCTTCCGATGATTTAATAAGAAACAAACGCTTTGTACAGGAGTTTCCAAAGGGAACAATGATATCAGCTGACCCATTGCACACAGGGATTTCCTGTTACACCCAAAAGACCATCATCACATATTACTTTGAGTTTGATTGGGTTAAAAGTGTGAGCTTGTTTACTTATCTGAATACCATGTGGGCTTGTGCTTGCATTTTAGCATGGAGAAATGTGTACATATATGTTTCTGCACTTAAGTAAATTTGTGACTGAAGGTAAGAGGGAGTTGATGGGAACACCACAACTTTTCTGTACAATGAGTCTTGAGGCATGTTTAGTAAAATCACCACTTAAATTTATTAAAAACATTTAATCATAATTCAGATGACATTATAGAATAGTTTTATATACAAGGAACAAGGTGTCAACATTTCAGAGCAGAACTCAAACACCTTAATCTCAGTGAGCAAAAGCTCACACATAAAACTTTTTTATTAAACAAATGACCCAATAAACTGCCAGACAGGGATTTAAATCCAGTTTTATGTTTTGATTTGTTTTGAAACAAACTGGTTGTGATACCATTGTTGTTCAGACATGGGTCACTGGGGCCACCCTCTGGAGCCAGGCCTGGATTTTGTGGCATGTCAGCAAGCTGGGACTTTGCACATGGGACCTAGTCTAGCGTAACCTGAAAGGAAAACATAGGTCCCCCTATCAGTGGACCCACCACATGCTGGATGGGCCATGAGGGGTCAAGTGCATTGTGAGCTGGGAGGCAGCCAAGCATGGCGGGTGCAAGCACTGGCGGTTTAATCCTCAGCTGCCATGCTCGCTTTGGAGACATGGATTGTCACCTTTCTGGTGGAGAGGAACCTGAGCTAGTTCATGGTTTGGGTGGATCCGGATAGATATAGTCAGACTAACCTCAAAGCACAGCATGGGTTCAAGAACCATTGTCCTCCGAAATGGTTGTACCCTTTTCCACTCTGGAGTTGCTCCTGGTGAGAGAAGCTTAGTGTGTGTAGGCACATTTATTGACCGGAGCTTGGTTCCTGGACATTTGGGTTTACCTCAGTGGATGAAAGGGTAGCCTCCCTTCGCTTTTATATTTGTCAAGTGGTTCCAACATTTTTGTTTGGGACTGACCTGCAGGTTTCCCCCACTTGAAAAGGATGCTTTCTTCCTGAGAGTCCACAGGATTTCACTCAGACTCATAAGTTGATTCTTCCCTTTTCCTCTTTTATTTGAAAGTTTGTTGAATCAACAATATTAGTAATAGTCGTAACAGCAGATGAAAAAACTTTAAACATAAACACATAGAAACCAATTATTACCATTTCAATCTGTACTACAACTCAATCTGTTTGTTATGAACAAATATTGTCCATAACAAACACCATATTCACACATAAGGACATAAGGACACAGTTCTACACTTGACTTTGTAGTTGTATCATTTGACTCACAGCCGTATGTCTTGGACCCTCGGGTGATGAGAGAGGAGGAGCTGTCAACTGATAATCACTTGGTCGTGAGTCGGCTCAGATGATTGGGGACTAAGAGGCCCAAATGTGTTGTGTGTGTCTGGTGGAAGCATCTGGCAGAGTTCCCTGTCCCTCCCCTATCACCAGGGCTGAGGTCACTGAGGTAGTCAAAAAGGTCTGTGGAGGCATGCCTGTCGATGAGATTCGCCTGGATCTCCTTAAGAATGTGGGTGCTGTGGGGCTGTCTTGTTTGACATTCCTCTGCAGCATTGGATGGACATTGGGGCAAGGGTATCTGGACAGGCAAACTGTGGTGGTGATTGGAGGGTGTGTTCCAACTATAGGAGGATCGTACTCTTCAGCCTCCCTGGTAAGGTCTATTCAGGGGTCCTGGAGAGGAGTGTCAGTCAGAGATTGTCAAATCTCTTCTGGAGGAGGAGCAGTGCAGTTTTTGTCCTGGCCATGAAATCAACCAACTCTATACCCTCTTCATGGGCCTGGAGGGGAATGGGGAGTTCGATCAACTCGGCAGTTTGCTGATTTTGAGTACCTGAGCAAAGTGGCACTGTGTAAAGTGACCAGGGAATACTTTGCGAGTATGGAGAATTGCACCTGTCCAGTCTGGACATGAGCTGTCTGGTCCCTGTATGGCCGGTGCCTGAGTTTGGTCCCCATTGCCGGCAGTAAATCGGGTTGCTTTCCAATGAGGGTTGGGCACAGCCAAGGCCGCCCTTTGTCACGATTCTGTTCATAACTTTTAAGGACAGAATTTTCTAGGAGCAGCCAGAAAGAAATTCAGCACCTCCGAATCTGAGACCATGATCCTCAGGCAGGAAAGTGTTAAATGTGTAACGGGCGGAAGGCTAGACCCAAGTACTGCACAGACTGAGACCAGTGTCGGAACAGAGTCCCAACAAAGTGGAGACAGACAAGGGGCGAGCAGGCAGAAGAGTCAGGGACAGAAGGCTGTTCAGGTTAACAGGGCAGGGACGACGAGGACGAGTCAGGGAAAGCAGGGTCGAAACCAAGGAAGCAATCCGGGAGAAAACGCTGGAGAACTTTGCATGCTGCGAAAGACAATCTGGCAGAGACTGAGAGGAAAGAGTGGGTTTAAATCAGGTGAGGGAACACAGGTGAAGGTGGATGCACTGATGAGGCAGACATGATCAGGAAAAGTATTGGCAGAGCTGGCAGTACGATGGAAAACCAGGAGCGGATTATGACAGAATGTCCTCTTCGAGTCAGGAATGATGTCCTGCCCCAGGTGGAGAAGTTCAAGTATATTAGAATTTGGCTATAATTACTCATTACTCATTATATTATAGTATACAGTGCTAGTATGCTATAATATACTCCACGTAAATTACTGATTGTCTTATTCCTTTTAGAACCATACTTTTGTGTTAAAGTTTCTGGCTGTGCCAATTCTCTTTTTCTCTTTTCGTTGCAGTATACACTCTTTAGGTGAACACACACACTTTGTTACCACATTCCAATGTCATCAGCATGAATTAGGACCTGGCCTGTTTAAGTTAGAGGTAACTGGCCAATAGCACTTGGTTGTGTCCAGTCCTCATTTTGAAGGGGTGGGCCCAGCTCAGAAGACAATTATCCATCACACCCGGATTTCGTGTGAGAGCCCAGCCCTGATGTTCAAAGTAGATCTGCTGCTC